TCAAGCGTGACAACACAGAGTTCTGCTCTTGACAACTTCTATCAAGCGTGAAGACACAGAGTTCTGCTGTTGACAACTTCTATCAAGCGTGAAGACACAGAGTTCTGCTCTTGACAACTTCTATCAAGCGTGACAACACAGAGTTCTGCTCTTGACAACTTCTATCAAGCGTGACAACACAGGGTTATGCTCTTGACAACTTCTATCAAGCGTGACAACACTTGAAAAAAATGTAACTGAGCGCCTAAGGTTCAGATAGCCATTACTCACCGTGATAGATGTCTGCAACACTGTAGATCTGGTTAATATTTTGTTTCCTCTGCCCTACCCAGGCATGATTTGCCCGTGTTTAGCTTGCTGTATGTTTTTTCTTTTGAACAGTCCATGGTGCAAAGGAAATGTCTACCTGTCTCCAGCCTTCCAAATCTAGACCCAGTGGTTAATGGTCAGAAACTCAATAAGGTATCGCATGGCTCCAGTGGTGTCCCTAGTGCACCCAAAATATTTCGCAAAACTGTCTTTTGCATTTTTTTCCCGTATTTCACTGTTTGTATGCCTCACTTTGAGTATTCCTCACTGTTTGTATGCCTCACTTTGAGTATTCCTCACTGTTTGTATGCCTCACTTTGAGTATTCCTCACTGTTTGTATGCCTCACTTTGAGTATTCCTCACTGTTTGTATGCCTCACTTTGAGTATTCCTCACTGTTTTTATGCCTCACTTTGAGTATTCCTCACTGTTTGTATGCCTCACTGCGAGTATGCCTCACTGTTTGTATGCTTCACTGTGAGTATTCACCACTGTTTGTATGCCTCACTGCGAGTATTCCTCACACTGTTTGTATGCCTCATTGCGAGTATTCCTCACTGTTTGTATGCCTCACTGTGAGTATTCCTCACTGTTTGTATGCCCCACTGCGAGTATTCCTTACTGTTTGTATGCCTCACTGTGAGTATGCCTCACTGTGAGAATGGGTAAAACATATTCAATGGGATGACAGAACCAGTCCCTGGAACAGAAGCAGTCTCTGCTCGATGTTGGCAAAGGCCAGGATCCTCATTAATGACAGGCTCTTGCAAGATTTTGTATTTGCTCGTATAGTCCCAAGCTGTATAAATCTACAGAGCACTCAAAAAGAGCAGTGCAATTCGTCTGCAGACCTCACACAAAAAATGTCATCTCCAAAGAAAGAAAAAGAACTGTCACGAACGTCCAGATATAGACGTAAATGTTTGAACTCTCTTACCATAGACACGGACTATGTGGCTGACAGCCTGGCCAACTTGATCCCTGGTCCAGCCATTTGCCAAAGCTTCTTGCGCTGCTTCAGAGCTCAAATAATCCGACTCTTGAGGGTCTGTCATTTGATAATAAAACTGATGATATAGTAGAGGATACTGATGTCTTCAGAATGTTGTATATAAGCCTTGTAATACCAGTGTGTGTACGTATGTATGTTTGTAAGTACGTGCGTATGTATGTTTGTAAGTACGTGCGTATGTATGGATGGATGGATGGATGGATGGATGGATGGATGGATGGATGGATGGATGGATGGATGGATGGATGGATGGATGGATGGATGGATGGATGGATGGATGGATGGATGGATGGATGGATGGATGGATGGATGGATGGATGGATGGATGGATGGATGGATGGATGGATGGATGGATGGATGGATGGATGGATGGATGGATGGATGGATGGATGGATGGATGGATGGATGGATGGATGGATGGATGGATGGATGGATGGATGGATGGATGGATGGATGGATGGATGGATGGATGGATGGATGGATGGATGGATGGATGGATGGATGGATGGATGGATGGATGGATGGATGGATGGATGGATGGATGGATGGATGTATGTATGTATGTATGTATGTATGTATGTATGTATGAAAAAGAAACACTTACCCACTGCTGCCTGAGCAGTAAGTGTTGTCTGCTCTCTTCCTAGTGACTGCTGGGGTGCAGTTTGAGTTTCCACTATGTTAGTAGCTTCCTAAAATGAGAATACTATTCGTAAGTTTCCACTTAAGAGTTACAAATTATTATTTACGTTTAAAAATAAACATCTAGACAGATGTAACAAAAATTTTTTTTATTTAAATACAGTTATCAAATGCTATATTTTAGTCACACTGATTCTGTTGCACTGGAACATTAACAGTGAATAATCAGTTAGAAAGCAGAATTGCGGCCCAGGAAAAAAGAAACAAAGAAGAATATGTTGTCTGTTATGGAAACAATATTCGATCAAATAGACAGGTTCTAGCAATACTGAGCAATTACAAAACAGAACGACAATCTTTGACTTTATTGGACGACAGAAAAGTAGTGCTCAGCAAAAAATTTTACAAGACATCAATAATTGTTGGTAGAAATTCCGAGGTACAAAACATTACCATAGTAGAAAACAATTATGAACCAAAAATTACACATCTACAGTTCTAGATCCTCTTAATACAGACAATATCAGACATAAACAA